GCAGGGATGGGGCTGCTTTAGACCCCGTGTGATAACGTCCTATGTGTGCCCTCCAAAATGGTTTTGCATGCAATCGGTTTGCCAACATGGCAATATAGTATAACCCCAGAAATAAAAAGGCTCCCCTTTGAAACTTCTGGGCAAGCCTGACCTCCTTGTCTCTCAACTTCTGTTCCCACCAGCTATTTCTGACACATCCCCTTTCCCCCATATTCCATATGGCTTAGACAATATACAGAGCAGAACAGAAGATATATTTAAAATTGAGCTATAACTCACTTACTTACAACATAAAATAAAAATTTACTTAGAAGTTTGGGTATTAAAACTTAGTTTTGTCCAGTGCTGAAGAATTATTATCCCATAAGATTTTATCCTAATGTTAAGAAATGTATCTTAACACCTATCACCCTGATCTTCGCAACTTCCATAACCAATACTATTAGCCAATTTCTCTTTCTTCAAACCACTACTTAGGGCCTGTTTGCACTGGCAAAAAAAGGGGGGGAAAGCAGTTTCAATTTATTTTGAGCCTCAGCTGTTCATATGACACATGAGGCTAAAATGGGGTGAAACAGGGATGAAGCCATGCTCTGGGATGAAACTGGAGCAAAATAACTCTAACATCGAAAGTGTGAATTATCATACTGGTATACAAACAGAATGACGCATGTGCAGGAATGCGGGAAGGCTCAGGTGGCTTACAGAAGTGATCTGGAGCATGCACCCTGGGCCTGGTGAGATGCAGTCACCAGCACCATTGCTTGCCATATGGTGTTTTTCTTTTGTCGAGCATACAGGCGCATGAATGTCCAGAGGCACCATCGACCCAGCATCAAGCCATTACACCATCAAGCCATCACACACCTGACAAAGTGAAATTATGACAAACATGGCAGGTTCCCAATAATGCAATGGATTTAATAAAAACTTACAGAAACTGGTCAGTGCAATAGGGGGGCATGGGGTGAAGAGGGCATGTATGCTGGGCCTCCATGATTGTGCTTTGCCAATATGTCACTGGGCACACCAATGTATCACTCGTGTGACTGTGTGGCTGGGTCACATGGGGCATTCAGTGGGACGGCAGACAGACGAGAGAAGGGAGTTAATTGGCAGGCAGATGTAGCATGTTCATGTGATGGTGCACATATATTCGGGGGAAGCAAAAGAAAATAATTGAGTGGCTCGGCTTGACACCATGTGGTGCAGACTTCTTTCAGAGTGGACCATGTGGACAATGGGAATTCCAGCCAAGTCAGGAAACCCCAGGAATAGCCTGGTTTTTCCTTTCTGTCTGCTCAGCCCCTCTGTTTACAGATTAGTTAGGATTTACATGGAAAATCCTTTGGCTACACTGGTGTCAGTGACAACTAGTGGCTTCCATGCCAGTGGACTGGTGAAACCTTTTACTCCAAACTTTAAAGGAACTATCTTTTTTGGGGGTGGTGGTGGTGGTCTTGCAGCACTGTTTGTTTATTTATTGTATCAATTGTATTTATTGCTCATGCCTCCGGCCCCCCTGGAAGATCTGGGGGCCAGCGAATTGGCCCCCAGATCAAAAAGTCCAGGGACCCCTGTTCTAGATGGTTACAAGCTTCTCTATTGTACCTAGATCTTGGGAGTGCTTCTACAATCCCACAGCCAGTCTAGCCAGTGGCCTTGCTTGCTGGGGTATTCTGTGAGTTTTAATCCAAAAAGCAAATTTTCCAAGCTCTGATTTTATTTATCCTCTTAAAACACCTGTTGCACCAGGGTTGTTAGAATTCCCCAATACATTAGTACATTGGTTCCTGACTCTGGAGCGCCTCCCTTAACATCTTGGTTGCATACTTAGCATAGTATTAAGTTATATACTTATATATACACAAAGAGCTAAATCCAGTTATACCATAACCTTGGGGTAGATTAATTCTCAGTCTCAATTTCTGGGCACATTGAGGCTATAATTTTTCAACACCAACTGGAGAGCAAGCCCCACTGTACATAATAGACTTAAGCATGTATCAGACAATACTATTATACCATTATAGCAGTGGATTAATCCTGGCTTTGCCTCATCCTTGTCATACAACATCATGACTTTCCTGGTATTCTTGTGCTGTAGATAGAGTTGTTGGGAATTCAATTCATTTTTTTTTTTTTACCATGATGGAAAAAATCTTTTAATGCCTCTCTTTCATTCACCAGTTTGAATGTGAATGTCTCAATCCACTTTATTGTGATAGAATAGTGGATGAAATGTGGATGTGTGGATGTGTGGATGTGCTCCAGTTGTCCCTCTCTTAGGGATTCCCAAGGAAATCTCTACCCTGGAAGCTTCAGGCTACTTCTGGTGCTTGTTGGAGACTTCTCAAAAGAATAGCTATGTTTCATGGTCTGTTTTCTATGCTCTACATATTTTCTAGATTTATTGTGTGTATGTGTGTGTGTGTTTACACACACACACACAGACACAGTTGTCACAGTTGTCCCTCTGGATTTGCTGACTTCCCATTCACAGTTTTGAATTTCCGCGGAGGGGAAGCCACAAGGGACAAAATGGAGCATTCTGACATTATTTTTGATGGGGCTAGAATATTTGTGGTTTTCCATTTGCGCACAGGTGTGTGTGTCTGGAATGAATCCCCTATGAATTGGGAGTGGCAACTGTATACGCTTTGTTGTTATAGTGCAATAATGGTGTGATCTGGGCCTATTTACCATCAGAAGTCACTCCAGATGGCTCACCTGTATGGGGATGTTTTCCAAAGATTTCTCCTCTGCTTACCATGTGCCACAACATTACACCACAGTGTTACATTTAAAAGCAATATTATTTTTAAAGGCAGTAGTGTAATCATGCTGTGATGTCTTATTGTAATTGCATTATTACAGCTTTTTATTAATTAAAGGGAATGCAATCATGATGCAGGAGTTGGAGCTAATAGGGCAGTGCAAATGGCATTGTCAGTACTGAAAAACTTGCTACATGGCACAGTGGCTTGAGCACTGGACTAAGACTCTGGAGATCAGGGTTCAGTTCCTTGCCTGGCCATAGAAACCCACTGGGTGACCTTAGGCAACACACTCTCTCAGCCTCAGGGGAAGCCTCCTCTGAATAAGCCTTGCCAAGGAAATCTAATGATAGGCTTGCCTTCGGGTCATCACAAGTTGGGAACAACTTGAAGACACACAACAACAAAATCAGTGGAATAAGTCACACTAAAAAGCACAAATGTGGTAAGGGTGTGACACAGCTTCAGCATTCATTTATCTTTTCAAGTGTGGGTGAAACGTTTTTTGAGTGGAACAACTTGAAACAACTGAATAGCATGAAAAACACCTTATACCTGCATTGAGCTGTGAATCAAATATATGGGAGTAAGTAGATAAGCATATGAATAAATTTGGTGTTATTTTAGAATGCATTTATTTTTAAGTTTGAAGCCAAAATTCAAGGAGGAGGATATGCATATGTAAAGAATTTTCCAGGACCACAAAAGATAAACAAGGATTAGACATTCCAAAGGTATTTGTTTGGGTAAACTATTATTTATTTTGAATGAGAACTACTATTGCCCAGTTTAGAAAAATCTGCAAATTATTTTCTGTAAAACAGTTGTCCAATGTGCTTCACAATATATTGGTAATATACAGAAAAGAAGCTTGAACCACACAAGAATTAAAATGAACAGCATGGATAAAGCCAGTCACTCCAATACACTCCTTATATGTACAGCGGGTTTTGTTAGGACTTAGGTACTTTTAGGTAAACGTGTTTAGGAATAAAGAGTAAAATATTTTAATCCTTGCTGTCTGATTTGTGGAATAGAATCTCTTTTTTAAAAAAAGAAAAGCAAGGATTTTTGCTGGATTATGACATGCAAATCTGTAGATATACAGGAAGATAAATAAAGGAAAGCTCATGTATTAAATGCACACAGGCAGGAAATGTCTGCTTTCAGAAGCATCATGCAAGGTTCCTCATTCAACCTTCCAGCATTTTAAACTCTATATTATATAAAATAAAAATAAAAGCTATAGGTTATATTCAGTTATGTCCTTCTGTCCACAAAAGGCTCTTTGATGCAGCAGAGGTTTTGACTGACCAAGTGTGTGATTTCTGGAAATTTTCATCTTTTCTCCTGCATCCCCCTATACTAACTCTTACGGGATACTGGAGGGTACCCCACTCAGTCCTCTGGAATGATTGGAAGAATGATACAGAAAGCTGCAAAGGGAAGGGTAATTAGCAAAAATCATGACCTTGTTCTGTTTATTTTAGCATCTGCCAGATAAAAGAGCTTTCTATGAATGGACCCATGTACAAACTTGCCATTTATTTTAAGCACTCTTTTGGTGGCTCCATGAGCACTACTTATCACTACTTGTGGAATTTAGTGATAAACTGAGAGTTACTTTTGCTGGATTAAGCCAACAGTTTATCAAATCTACTAGTATTCTGTTTCCAGTAGCAGATGGCCTAATTCATTTGGAAGCTTACAAACTGCAAGTTCTTTTCACTAGAGAAAACAAGTTGTTTCCCTTAGCATCTTCTATTTGGAGCTATTCTGCTTCTGTCCTCGGTGGGTATATTTAGGGCCTAAGCAGACTGCCAGAAATAGTGCACATTAAATTGAGGCACTGCCCTGGCTCAGTGCTAGGGAATCATGGGAACTGTAATTTATTGTGGCACCAGAGCTCTCTCACAGAGAAGGCTCAATGTCTCAGAAAAAAAATACAATTCCCATGATTCCCTAGCACTGAGCCAGGGCAGTGCCTCAATTTAATGTGCACTATTTCTGGCAGTCTGCTTAGGCCTTTAATTACCATAGAAAAGCTTTCTTAAATATTCTGGGTAAGGACTGTGGCTCAGGGCAGACAACAAACTGTGGACAAACAAGGACTCAAGTTTAATCCATGCCATCACCAGGTTAGAACTTAAGAAAGTCAATTTTTAACTCTCAGAACATATCTGGTCACATTGGCTGGGGAATCTGGGAACTGTAACCCAAAAAGCAACTTTTCCACATTCTGTTCCAGGTGCTGCTGAGAAAGATCCTTGGTGAAAATTCTGATGATCTCCACTGCATATAAATGTTGTTGTCGTTAGCTGTCTTCAAATCGACCTTGACTCATGGTGATGCTATGAATGAGACATCTCCAAGCCCCCCATCCTCTACCTCTCTGCTCATGTCCTGTAGTCTCAGGCCTGTGGTCTCCCTGATTGAATCTATCCATCTGGCATGTGGTCTTCCTTTCTATTGCCCACTACCTTCCCCAGCATCATTGTCTTTTCTAATGAGTCATGCCTTCTCATGATGTGGCCAAATTATGACAGCCTCAAATTAGTCATCTTGACTTCCAGGAACAGTTCAGGCTTGATTTGTTCTTGATTTGTTCAAAGAGATTCCATCTCAACATTAGGAGGAACTTCCTGACAGTAACGGCGGTTCGACAGTGGAACACACTCCCCTGGAGAGTAGTGGAGTCTCCTTCCTTGGAGGTCTTTAAGCAGAGGCTGGATGGCCATCTGTCAGGGATGCTTTGATTGGGAGTTCCTGCATGGCAGGGGGTTGGACTGGATGGCCCTTGTGATCTCTTCCAACTCTATGATTCTATTATTCTAGGACCCAACTGTTTCTCATTTTGACCATCCATGGTTTTCTCAACACTCTTCTCCAGCATCACATCTCAAATGAGTTAATTTTCTTCCTATCTGCTTTTTTCACAGTCCAGCTCTCACATCTGTACATTGTAATGGGAAATACAGTGGCTTGGATGATTCTAACTGTAGTGTTCAGCTGTATATCTATACAATTTAGGATTTTGTCTAGCTCTTTTATAGCAGAAGTGGTCTTTGTATAAGGCATCTTACTGTGGTTCTGAATTAAAATACATAATTCTCTAATAGCAGGTTTTTTATATCAACTTTACAAATACTTTACAAATATTTGTAAAAATAAGTTATTATACACCTGCTATAGGAGAATGATGTATTTTAATTCAGAAACACAGAAAGCTGCCTTATACAAAGATCAGTGGTCAGTTTTCCTCTGCTATTTGTATACAGTGAAGACCATCAGAATTATTTAAAAAATAGATAGGTAAATATGCAATGGGCCTCTTTGTAGTGCTAAACAGCACACAAACTCTTTGAGCAGGACTAACTGAGGCCATGGCTAGCATCCTATTGGTTAGTCCGAACTACACTAGATCCATTCAATCATTTATTGGTGAATTAAGAAATTGGTAAATCCCACTGATTCACTGGGTCTACTCTAACTGCAATTGCATTGCAAAAATACTCTGGTTTGACACCATTTTAACTACCCTGCCGCCATGCTATGAAATTCTGGGTAGTGCAGATTGATGCCCATGTGATCCTCAGACTATTTTAATGACATGCTTTTCATTTATTTAACATAGATTTTAAGGATCTTTAGCTATACTGCTGAAAATTTGGCAGTGTTGAGCAGCTACCCAGAGGTAATTGTTTATGCTACCCTTTAAAGCAGAGGTCGGCAACCTACGGCCCACAGGCCGAGTGCGGCCCACTAAGGCCTTTGGACCGGCCCATGGCCGGTCCCGCTGCTGCCGCTGCCGCCCTGCATGCTGCCTGCAAATGTGGGGGCCATTTTGGCATCCAAAATGGCACCCGCATTTGCGCACGCATGCACGCGAGAGCGGGTGCCATTTTGGAAGACTGCAGCACGTGTGCGCTGGGCGAATTCGCCCGGAGCAGGTGCACTGGGGCCTTCCCTGAGCAGGCTGTAGTGCACATGCGCCAGGTGAATTTGCCCGGAGCCCAGCGCACGAGCACTGTGGCCTTCCTAAATGGTGCCCGCATTCACGAGCGTGCATGCGCAAGCACGGGTGCCATTTTGGAAGGCCCAATGGTGCCATGAACATGCAAATTCGCCCGGCGCACACGTATGCATGCACAAGCGTGGGTGCCATTTTGGAAGGCCCAACGGCGCCGTGCGCTTGCCGGAGCAGGTGCACTGGGGTCTTCCCTGGGCCCTGGCTAGGCCCCAGCATGCCTGCTCCGGGCGAATTTGCCTGGTGCACGAACGCTGCGGCCTTCCAAAATGGTGCCCGCACTTGCGCATGCATGCGCATGATGGCAGGCGTCGTGCACAGGGAAAGTGCACAAGCGCACCGACGCCCTCCCACTCCCCACACCATTCCCTCCCTCCCGCCTCCCCGGCAACAAATGTTGCCGACCCCTGCTTTAAAGCTTAGCTCTTATACAGAAGTAAGCAACTGTCAGGCCATAAGTGGCCTAACACAGGCCCCTTGAGGACTGCACACACACACAATTCTGGACATAATTTCTTTAGTCTAAACTAGTTAGTATTACCCCTTAAGCTTCCACATATGTCCTCGGTAATTTTGCTGAAACTAGGAACACTTCTAGATCCTTCACTTTTTTAAAAAAATAATGTTATTCAATAAATAAAACCCAATGACAATAACAAACAAAACAAAAAGAACAAAACAGAAATCAAACCACTCACAGTAAAACCTACACTAAGCAAATAGAACATTATTTTTTTAAGAAAGACTTCCAACTTATACCAATGAAAAGTATGTTGCTTTATATATCATTATTACTCTAACACAGGTCACCATGTTTTATGGTCAGCCTTGAGATCAGCAATCAGGGGATAGATAAAACTCCCTCCCTCTTCCTAGCCCTCTCGCTACTAGCAAGTGTGAAAAGCAATCAGATGAAAGGGGTGTGCAGATACAGTGATCAATGAAGTGTGTGTGTGGATACAGTGATCAGATGAAAGAGTGTGTGTTGATTCTGAGATCAGACAAAAGGTGTGTGTGGATGATCAGATGAAAGGTGTGCATGGATGAAGTGATCAGATGATACAGTGGATGCAGTGATCTGATGAAGGGTGTGCATGGATGAGGCAATCAGATGAAAGATGTGCATCCATGAAGCAGCCAGATGAATGGTGTGTGAGGATGAAGTGATCTGATGAATGGTGTGTGTGGGTACAGTGATCAGATGAAGAGTGTGAGTGGATGAAGCAGTTAGAT